ATTAGTTGACAGTTAGTTTTGTTGTCTGTTGAAACCTGAAACGTTTTTTTGCAATTGTGAATGCACGAAATTTAGTTTCTTTTACCTGTTTTTTTTTTTGTAAGTTTTATAAAAATGCCATTTTTATTCTCCAATCAAGAGTTAGCGGATATTCATTTTGTGTATGGCTTTGTAAATGGAAACGCAGCAGAAGCAGCCAGAGAATACGCACGAAGATTCCCAAACAGACGTCATCCAACTCGCTCAGTATTTGTAAGAGTGCATCGCCAAATAATTGAAAATGGTTTTGGAAATCTCCAAAGGAATCAAAACATAAATGTTCGTCAGCGCAGATTTACCCGTATGATTCTGCGTGAGTTTGATAGAGATCCGACCACAAGTGATAGGAGAGTTTCTGGTGCCTTGGGAATTTCAGCAAGCCATGTTCACCGTGTTCTTAGAAATGACCATAGACGTCCTTACCATTTGCAATCTGTGTAAGGACTACAGCCAGGGGACGGAGAACGAAGAATCACATTTTGTCAGTGGATTCTTAATAGAACTGATAATAATAGGGAGTTTTTAAGCAACGTTTTATGGACCGATGAGTCATGCTTCACTTGACGTGGAGTGGTAAATTTTCATCATCAACATATTTGGTCGCATGAAAATCCGCATGCAGTTCGGAAAAGATATTTTCAGCATGAATTTAGTGTGAACGTGTGGATTGGTATCTACCGTAATCGACTATTTGGGCCCTACCTTTTGCCTGCAAGGTTAAATGCTGCGACCTTCTTGAAATTTTTAAAGGCTGAACATGCAAGTATGTGGGATGATGTTATGTTAGATTTAAGAAGATTGGCCTGGTTCCAGCTTGATGGTTGTCCAGCTCATTATTCCAGAATAGTCAGAAACTGGCTGGACGAAAATTATCCAGAAAGATGGATCGGCCGTGGTGGACCAGTCGCCTGGCCTCCACGATCCCATGACCTAAATCCATTAGATTTCTTTGTGTGGGGATTTCTAAAAGAAAAAGTGTACCAGACTCCCGTAACCATAAGAGATATGCTAATAGACAGAATCAGGAATGCATGTGATGAAATAAGGCCTTATTTGAATAATGCTATACCACGTTCGATAATTCGTAGATGTGAATTGTGTATTGAATAATTGGGTTTACATTTCGAGCAACTCCTTTAGATTTTGTATGTTTGTCCTAACAATCCAATAACATTTTAGTTGTAAATAATTAATTTAATTTGTTAAAAATAATATTGGAAAATTAAACAAATTAATATTCTGTTTTTTTTTGTGTTTATTTGGAGTTAGGAATTATTGCTGTGTTTAAAAATACAATCTAAACGATCATCTTAATTACTTGTAATGCCCAAATCGAAAATGTAAAAAAATATTATTTTCCCATGAATAATTAAAAATGCATCGAACCTTAAAAATCGAAATATCCCAAAAACGGCTAACTATAACGAAAACTCGCAGGAGAACTTTTTTATGCAGAAAAGTGCGAAGAATCAGTTTTTTTATTCAAAAAGCAAAAAATTGCACCAAGAAAAATTTTTCGGTCATTTTAATACACTACAGGTACAGTAGAGAGCACCCTCTAGTAAAACTAAAGTTCTGTCGAATCTTAAAGTTATGCAACAATAAACTGAAACACCCTGTATAGTTTTTATATTTTTTATTACCAATTATGTTATTCAGTATTTGTTGTTGTTACATAATTAGTAATAAAAATAATTTCCAAAAGAACCAAATTCCTTGTGTGATCCAGCGATATGCAGTTAAGTGGACTTTTTTCCTCGAAAACTAAGCAAGATACAAAAAAAAATCAAGACACAAAAAAGTTAGTTGTATTTCTATTTGCTTAATCCAAAAACATAATAAAAATCCAGTGACGTACATTTTACTGCCACAAATATTCGTCAAGATCCCGCACGGGACGCCACTGGAATTGATAAATTCAATCAAGTTAGGGTTAAATTATTACCACCGCCAAATTACAACAAAATTGAAAGGATATTTACGAAAAAACATGTTTTTCTTATTTTAACACTCAAAGAATCGTCTGTTGAATTTATGGTACATACTGAATTTTGAAATTTGGGAAAAAATTGGATTTGAAATTTTGAAAATCATTGAAAAATTCAAAAATTTGGAAAATAAGATTTGGAAATTTTAGAAAAAAATTAAAAATTTTGAAAGAAAGTAAATTTCGGAATTTGAAAAAAAATTGAAGGAAATTTAGAATTATTAATTGTCAAACATAAGATATACTAAAAATCGAATCTCTTGATTATAAGTACTTTTGTTGTCGTTTTGTGACTAAAAATTCAGAAAATAAATTGTACTTTGAAAAACTAAAAAACACGCTTTAATGGCAAATCGCACTAGAAAGTAGAAAATATTTTTTTATAAGTATAGAAGAGTGTTGGTCCTGCAATAGGGAGTCCAACAATTAAGTATGGCTACTGACTAATTAACTAATAATAAGATCAATATAAAAATCAAAATATTAACAAAAAATTCAATTACAATAAAAAAGCTTGTGGTGATTGGTATTTAATGTTAGAATTATTTTTTTAGTTGATATTTACAAAAGTGGAGAAAATATAGTTAATTGCTCGTTACGTTTTCTACTATAATTGATTTTTTTTGTCGATATCTTAATTTTTGTATTTAGTTAACAAGTCACACTTTGTTGTACGTTGTTGCACTTTGTATTGCAATAATACAAACTCTCCTATAATTCAAAATTAATTTCTACTTTTTAGTTCAAATTGTTATTAAAACATGTTTTGACTTGACGACACTTTTGGACTTCCCTTTCTACATTGAACCTATTTCAGAAGTTTCATACTACCTCCAATAATTAAGTTTGAAATAACAAAAACGCTTTACATTTGACTCGTGAACGACGATACGAATTCTAATTTATTATATTCTTTCTATATCGGTGAATACTAAGAAGTGACAGCATTTAAAAATTAGGTATCGCACATGCTAATAAACTGTTCAGCATACTTTTTTTCAGTTGCATTTTTCTAATTCTCTGACACGAGTGAAAAGCGTCAAGTGAATTCAACACCGTATTTAGCACCAAGCAATTAGAATCTTAATTCATTCGACCTTGGATCATTGCAGATAGTTTCTGTGTATTTAATAATCCGATTCATGCCTCATTTGTATTCGTAAAATGATCCTTTACTACAGAAAAGTAGGTACTTAAATTGATCATTTTATTGCACGTTAAACATTTTGTTGTGACTTAGAAAACATTCCAAAAATACCCATGTTTATATGAACTTTTCGTAATTTGCAAACAATGTTCTGCCCTGGAAATATTGCCACTATTACTTGCCACGCCACTGGCGAGAAAGTGTTGTAAAACTTTCAAAAATGAGCGACAATGCATTTATGGTTTTATTGCTTTGAAGTTGCTTACATTTAGTATGCGATTTTTTTTGTCAATGGAAAAACAGTTGAAAAGAAGGTCGTTGACCCTTTCGGTGTGTCAACGGGGGAAGACAGCAAACGTCGTTTTTACTTCCCTCGTCGACTGACGAAAAAATACAAATTATCTTCCCTACGTTTTGTAGTTTTTTTCTATGATTTTTTTAAATCCGCTTAACTTCATGGCCCACCCTGTAGTAAGGTAGTGGATATAGAAAGCCATGTGTATGTAAAGTAGCGATGAGATAGGCACTATATAATACATCTGTACATATGTTAAAAGTAATAACAAACACAACATCTGACACATTTTGAGACATATTATCATATTTTAACAGAGCTTTGATTTATCGAAGTTGGCAACATCGCCTCAGACATGCTCAACGTGCGGTTTCTTATAAACGATTGTATCACTATCTATTAATAAAGCTTTATCAAACGCTGAATACAGAAATATGCCCCTTGGTGATAAATTCTTGAGCTTATCGATGTTTCTCGCTCCATCAGCAGTGATGTTGATGTTATGGCTAGTTCATTCGAATATTTTTGAATAATGATATCATCGATCGGATAAGGTAGCAAATATTATTGCCATTGCTGGACAGTAGATACGTATAAAGTTATAGCAAAAGAGCTGGTGTATAGTCTAGAATAGTTCCCACACGATATTTGTCCACCACTGCCAAATTCTTACGCCCAGCCCATTGGTGACTCTAATGACCAATGTAAGAGAGGCGAATGGTGCATATATATTTTTTAACAATAAGATAGTATAGAAACTTTGACAGGAGATTTAAATTCAAGCTTTTACTATTGCAGTTAAAACAAATATAGTTAAATGGTGCGATTGAAGGCAGAGGTAAAATTCATAAAAACTTTAATAAAAACATAGCACTTGCCATTTCCCAAATACCAATGGTGTAGGACGAATTTGAAACACCCGGTATATGCTATCAGTGAACGTTCAAAACATATCGCACCCTCATAACAAAAATGACACATCTAGAAAAATGTACTTTTACAGGAAGCCGAAAAAACCGCCAGAGGCTTTTAGGTCCGTATCGTCAGTCGTCCCTACAATTGTAGGGCCCCTTAATGGCCTCCTTGATTATCTCTATTTTGAGGTTATGTCACAAACATCTATTTGCATCAAATTGTGCTTGCTTTTGAGTTATATCATGTTTTATCAGCCTGAAATTTCCTACAATTTAAAAAGAAAACATATCTTCACAATAGGAGAGCGCTGACGCTGACACGTGACAAGTGTAATCTAGAAATTTTTGAAGGGGAGAAAGGAGGATGACAATCAAGGAGGCCATAAACGCGCCCTACAATTGTAGGGACGACTGACGATACGGGCCTTAGACACAAACAAATTTTGCGAAATTAATACCTTATATGTGAATCAGTTACATAATGTTGTTTTGTTGACATTTTCCAAGATTATATTTTAATTTTAAAAAAAAATCAGTTTTTGAGTTATTTCACTTTCTCACTCACTCTCATGTAAGGCTTAAGATATTCATATGATAAGCATCGTAAGACTTCTTGATGCTATCTTGAACAAGAAGTGCTTTCATGGGCTCCTTCTTTCTGCTCAAATGTATCTTTTCAGAGTAGGCACTTACCAGACCTTGCCACCTGTCTGACCCCACAGACGTTCAGTGTCTTAAGTTGACTTTCTCATATGTCCATGTTTCCCTCTCATTTCACTTTCAACTTTCCCAGATCGGCCGATCGTTGATATCTAATGTTGCTTTGAAGAACTTGTTACAGTCTCTGATCTTTTCACAATTTTTAGTAGAAGTAGCTGAATTTAAACTCCTGTGATTTTCAGTTGTAGTGTAACGATATTTTATTTTGATAGCAGTTGTATGTTCAACAATGTATTCACGCTGTCGTTGCAGATCCGACATGCCCCAATAGCCCTAAACAATGTTTTGTCTACGTAATACTATCTCGCAATTTGGCATGGGAAATAAAAGGGATGGAATGCTGCACTGTTTTACATTAACTGATCGCATTTTATGACTCGATTCTCCAAGAGTGTCTCAACATGAGATAGTACTACAAATAGATAATCCTGCTGGTCAACTAAAGTGGATACGGTCAAAGTGATTCGATTTATCATCCAGATTTCAGCAGCTAAACTGTATCAAATCTAAATACTTACCCTACAAGACTTTACACCAATCACGAATCAAAACACAACTCAAAATAAGACGCTTTTAAAGACGTGGAATCGTCGACTAGTATCAAGGTGGCTGACGCATAAACAGTGACATGAGGGGCCATCTAGCGGAAATATATTGAAGCTATTACAATACACCTTTGCTGACCTATGGAGGATTTTATACTTATTATGCATATGATCATAAGTGAAAAATTGCATTTTTTGAGTTATTTCACTTTTGAAGCAGGTGTACGATATACTGGAGGCCGGATAAGTATCAAGTGGTCGTTTTCACCCCTAAATTTTGCTGATAAGCGCCTACCCCCTTATAACGATTTTCTGATATATCATTGTACTATTTTGAGATAAACTGATTCTGTGCACACTAAACACTATAAGCAAATTTCAAAAAAGAGTGCCCACCCCGTAAAAAAGAAATAAATTAGCACTTACCATTTAGCCGCCATTTCTGTACCGCGGTATCTGCGAAGTTCTCCTTCATTCTTCCCGTAATCCAAAGGTGCAAATCACTACAAGCACTCACAAGCACTTATTCCACATGCCACTAGCACATTTTCCTAGGTACGACAGAGTTTTACCTACGAAAACACTGAAATTAGCGCTGCCGAAGAGCCCGTATATGAAGTCCGCGGTATCTCTGAAGTTTTTCTTCATTCTTCCCGTAATCCAAATGTGCAAATCACTACAAGCACTCACAAGGACTTATTGCACATGCCACTAGCACATTTTCCTAGGTACGACAGAGTTTTACCTATGAAAACACTGAAAATAGCGCTCCCGAAAAGCCCGTTAAAAGGTCCGCGAAGACTGATCAAAACAATTGCAACATTGCATACCAGACGACAGACGTTTTTCTAAGATTTGAAGTTGGCCGGGGCCCGAGCTCAGTTCTGAGAATTCTTCCTTACCTGTTTGTATTAGGAAGAGTAATTTCGTTTATTTTAATTATTAATGTCTGTGATACCAGAGGTACCTACTGCAGGTACATAAATATGATGGCAAAAATATAGATAAATCATATTGTGATATTAAAATACGTATTCTGTTTCAATTTCTAAATAACAGATTGGCTACACATCAATTAAATAGCGTCCTTCTAAAACTAAATACTGAAATTCGGTCTTACAAATGGTGTCAAGTAGGCTGACTCTGCATTTTACTTGAAGTGGAATCAAATTTGTTGCTTGTTGGTTTTCCTCAAATCCTGTCATAGTCCAGTCATTATTGGTAACGGTATCGACCGAAATGCTGGAGCTGCGCTCAAATCAGATTTTTTTTAGTGGTAAATAATAGTCATATTATATTGATTGATGAATAGTTTTTGATAGCCTTAAAAACGGGATTAGCGAAAAATAATATTTTCTTAAGGCTTAGCGAATATAAAAAATATTGTGCTAAAGAAACTAGTAGTCGGACAAATGGTATATTATTGGTAAAAACTTGAATATTTGAAATCCTACACTTGCTGGTAATTGGTACCAGATATCAGTGACAACAATGTATTATATTGAGTTGAACAGACTAAGCTAAGGTAAATAAAAATGTTGGCTATCCGGTGTCAGTAATGTCTGTGGACTATGGATCGCAATATGGCTTCAAATACTGAACATGCCAAACGCCTTTTGGATTACCCTGCTGGTCTTGGAGCTCATGCGACCAAGAACCACACTTCGATCTTACTGTGGAAGCCGCAGATCTTTAAACAATATTTATCGACATCTAATCTAACTTATTTTATATTTATGAGCTGCAAGGGTGTATCCAGTGGGGAGGGCAAGGGAGCTGCCCCCTTTTCCCTAGCTCGGGAAAAACAAATGAATATATATATATATATATATATATATATATATATATATATATAACTTGAGACGTGGTCATTGTCGTCTAAACCAGTTAGGTGAAAAATTAAAGCTTCCGCCTTTTGTTGGGTACTTCGACAAAATTTAAGCAAAGAGGACTCTTTATACTTTTTTTAATTCTCTCTAGCTTTCAATGGACTTTGCCATCATCATCAGGAGCTGCAATTACAATGATAATTTTATATTATATTTCTATAATTCCACCAACAAATTTCTTTCCACTCAAAATCTAATAATTCTCTTCTCACGATTTATTAATAATTGTTAATTAAAAATTCCCATTAATTAAAATATAGTTTATTCAACTGCCTCTGGTCGGTTTAACAATTTCTCACATAACATTCTGAAAATCACATCATCTGAAGTGATTTGGCAACGTTTTGGCACACGCCCACAATTCGTTCCATCTTTCAACACAAACATTGACAACCTTCGGCCTTCTGTCAAAGGTTCATCTCACTCATTATTCCATGACCACCATTTTGTGCAATCATCAAGTGGCTTCACGACGTAATGCTCTAATGTTTTCTAAATAATTTTTAATCTGTCTTTAACTTGTCTTGTCATATTTTATATAATTTTAACCATTGTACCATGTATCCAGCTCTCACCATGTTACTGGACGTTTCCCTCATCCTATACGAAAACAACAATTAGCAACATCCTCACATACTACTGTAAGTTGATTCAATTTAAATTCATTTTACACTTTTGTTGCTGCTGTTATCATTGTAATTGCAGCTCCTGATGATGATGGCAAAGTCCATTGAAAGCTAGAGAGAATTAAAAAAGTATAAAGAGTCCTCTTTGCTTAAATTTTGTCGAAGTACCCAACAAAAGGCGGAAGCTTTAATTTTTCACCTATATATATATATAGGTGAAAAATATATATATATATATATATATATAATGGAAGACTTTTCTTTAAGATATCGACAAATTATGCTAAGTGTACCCTTTTGACTTACAAAACTAAAGCCTTCGACAAACTATGCTGCCATCATCAGGAGTCCGTCAGTGAGAAAGGTGCTAGTGTTTGATGTTAAAAAATGAAAAGAAAACACATGGCAAGGTGATCAAAAACTGGATGTACGTTAAACAACGATGCACAACATCATTATGTTTTACTAATACACTGCTGAAGGATTTGGACAACAATTAATTAGATAAATTTTCTTTAACCTGTACCAGCAGTTTGAATTTGTACTGGCAGGTGTTTGAGTATCAGACTTCAGTAATAAGTTTTAAATCCCTTGGTCAGTGGTTGACAAGCTGATGTATAAATAGGGGACAAAAATAATATTTTTATATTATACTAAGTGACATATAAATCCGAACACCCAGTTATATGGTTTTATTTTAATAAAATTTTGTATAAGTACTTAATGAAGCATAATAAGTAAATGATAAAAATTTCAAAATGATTGCACTGCTTTAAAGCCCTTTGACCTTTAATAATGTGTGGATGCACCCTGATGTGCTACGCATTCTCCAACGCGCCTAGGCATGCTTCTGATCAGGTGGTCAATGTCCTCCTGTGGTATCTCATTCCAGGCAACCACCAACTCCTCTCGAAGTGCTTCTAGAGTCTGAGGAGGACGTTGCAAATTGAGCAATCTCCTACCCATCATATCCCACACGTGCTCAATTGGGGATAAGTCGGGAGATCTTGGTGGCCATGGTAACAATGTGACATCATTATGTTGAAAGAAGTCTATTGTGACTCTTGCAACATGTGGTCGGGCATTATCTTGTTGGAAAGTTGGATCTGCCAGGGTGTCAAGATAGGGTAAAAGATGGGGTTCTAGAACTTCGTGGATATAACGCTGCGCGTTCATGTTACCTCTGATGAAGATTAAAGGTGACCTGGAACCATAAGCTATAGCACCCCAAACCATAACTCCAACAGTGTGATGAACATGTCTTTCAACAAAAAACTGTGGATTCCTCCTTTCACCACGTCGCCTTCTAACCCTGGCACGACCATCGTGCATGCCTGAACAAAATCGAGACTCGTCACTAAAGACAATACTGTTCCATTCCCGATCCCAGAGTGACCGTTGTCTGCACCACTCAAGGCGATTACGTCGGTGTTCTCGAGTTAAAGGGAGGACCCAGTGTGGCCGGTATGAAAACAAGCCAAAACTTCTCATTCGTCGGTAAACACTTCGCATGCCAATAGGTCTTCCGTGTTCTGCAAACCATTCATTTGCAATGGACCTGGTAGTGAAGAAACGGTCCCTTAAGGCCAATAATCTTATTCGGCGATCTTCACGGTCTGTTGTTCTACGGCGGCGTCCAGTGCCCCTTGCTCTTTGCGTACGGCCTTCTCGAAGCCATGCCTGACAACACCTAACCACAGTGTTTACACTTCTTTGCACTCTAACTGCAATTGCCCGAAAAGAAAGTCCAGCTTCCCGAAGTCCCACTATACGGCCCCTATCAAACTCACTAAGTTGACGAAATCGTACAGGTCTCGGTACTCTAGGCATCGTAACCGATCGTAAAGGATGTCAAGAACCAAAATCCGCCAACGTTGATTCTTTACTGCGGCTGAAATATTCATTTTTAGAGCGTTAGTGAATTAAAAAAAGCAGTATAAAAACCGGAATGTCCAACTGATAAGGCTGAAAATTTTTTCACTTGTTATTTACAGTAAGATAAATACATTCACCAACTTTTATTAAAATAAAACCATTTAAACTGGGTGTTCGGATTTATATGTCACTTAGTATATTTAAGCGAATGTCCTGCATTGTCTAAAAATAAAAAAATGTTTCTGTTTTCCTTAGCCTTTTTCCGATCTAAAGTCATAATTTGGAGCCATTTTTACAATGAATGTGTCGCCCACTGTGCCTTTTCTGCACAGATGTCAGACTTTGCTGAATTTAAATTTAATCGAAAGCGTGTACCCAAAGAATAAGAACGGTAAATCCCCGACCAACTCGCGGGGAAGTCCCTAATTCACGCCTGGCAGAAATACACCACATATGCTGCGTTTCTACGGAAAGATTAAAGTCGGTGAATCCCCGGTTTAGGTACTCGAGAAACTCCCAGTGAAGATAAGCGCGACACGATTGCGAAATGCAAAAGCGATACTCTCAACAGAAAAAAAAATAAGACAAGGCGTTTCTTTTTATTTAGTTAGTAGAATTTTCTTGTCTCCGCGTTCGTTCAAAAAAATGTCCGTATAAGAGAAAGTTAATACAAATTATATGAGAGTCCCTTTACCAATGAGTTGAAAGTGCATTGGTTCTTAAGACATACAAACTATCGTTCCAATAATAGACTAACCTCAGTTTAATGATAATCTGCCGTTGGAAGCTTACAATTTCTATAATATTAACCGCGTTTTCAAAATTCTTTTTTTTTTCAGCACATCACCAGCGAGCTAAAGAAACACGCTGCAGAAGCGATCAGGCTCGAAGGCCAAGTGAACAAACTCACTTCTGACCACGAGACTCAGTCGTTGGTGGTGCTTTTAGCAGGAATAAGGACTCGAATTGCTACACTCTTGTCTCAGGCCGAAAACGGCAGGATACTAGTCACGGTAAGCAGTCGTTTTACTCTTTACTTATAATCGCCAAAAATGGGAGTTTTTGGATGCTGTATGTCAAGTTCGTCACGAAAAACCATGTCACTCATTTCTATCTGTCAATCGGTCAATTTTGATAATTTGATGAAATTCATCGGAAAGTCCCATTTCGTAAATGTCAAACGTAAAATTATTTTTCTATAGTTGTCACCGATCTTGGCGGGTCAAAGTAAGACTACCAGTATCCCTTTACATAGATCCCTCATACATACACATGAAACCTACCCCTGTGTATGAACGTTTGTTCGATACGTTTTTTAGTTGTGTGTCTCCGACTCGAAAACTTTGTCGTTACGTACGAGTGCCCTTCAATCATATTTGTCAAAGTGACAACTTACTTGACATCGGCGAGTTGTCCTGTTATCAATCCTTCATATAAAACGAGACCGATCTCGAGTCGATTTCTAGTTTCCGAAACGGTACGGCTTTCCTTCCGAACGTTTCGCGAACCGGGAAAAAAACCGGAAAAACCGCGTCGACGTCGACCTCTCCGATCTCGAAATCTACGTCCTACCAAATAACAAAAGATCACTCGTTAATATAGTCGATGTCTGTTCTCTTCGGCATAAAGGAGATATCGGAGTTTTTACCGCGATTTGCCGTTTTTCTCGCGTTTTCTTTGGAAATTTCCCAAAAAAAAAACTAAGACGCGGAACGCGAATAGTTCCGCCCTAAAAGGTGCGCCCGTCGTTTAGCTATCGAACGAGACCTATCTCGAGTCGATATTTCGATAAACGGCGAGACGGCAGATAAAAAAGTCTCCGCACCGCGCGAAAAACCACCGATTTTTCGACTTAACCGGCCATTTTCGAGCTGGTTCGTTCCTCTCACCGTACTGGCTCTCACTCCCGCGTAAAGCGCCGAGTTTCTAGTTTCCGAAACGGTTTCGCTTTCCTTCCGAACCTTTCGCGAACCGAGAAAAAACCGGAAAAACCGCGTCGATGTCGACCGTTCGGATCTGCTGTCGAAATCCAAATCCTACCTAAATCCTACCTAAAAACAAAAGATCACTCGTTAATACAGGGTGTCCGCAAAGTTGGGGTTTTCCTTTTCAGAAACAACTACCCTTGAAATAACAAAGGTAATGTGTAGTGAAACGAGGGCGACCAAGTAAAAACAATTAAGGAAAAAGTACTCACTCTCCAGTTGTCGAGAAGGGCTAAGTACGTCTCTGCCCGAAATCATATCGCTCCAACAGAAAATGAAATCAGCTGATGCGCTACCGAGCAGACGCAGAAACCACATTGATTGTCTTACACTTAATGGCACATCTTCTAACAAGGAAGGCAAAATGTTGCGTAAAAAGTCTAGGTATTGCATCCCGTCCAATCGATTTGGGAGAATAAATGGTCCAATGAGCATACCGTTCACCATGCCAGCCCAAACATTCACCGAAAATGTTTGTTGGAAAAGTGCCCGACGGACAGCGTGCGGATTTTCTACTGACCAAACATGAGTGAAAGTTATTCACCCCATTACGCGTGAACGTAGATTCGTCTGTCACCAATATGCACTTCAAAAAGTCCGGATTATTGTCATGTTGATGCAACAACCACTCACAAAACTGCACTCTTGCTAGAAAATCGTCAGGTTGAAGGGCTTGTACACATTGGACGTGAAACGGATACAGCCCCTCTTCACGCAGCCTGTGCCACACTTCAATGTTTGATACTTGCACTTCTCTAGCCACGTCTCTAGTACTTGTTGAGGGATTCTCGTCTACGCGATTACCTCTACACGCGTGACCGTAACCGTCGGTTGAAGGTTGCATACTGACCTGACACACTGACCCCGACCCAGTTCTGTCGTCGGGTTGAGCCAGTGACCTTGTACCAATCGGTGATGTCGCGGGTCGCGGCTACAGGACGGTATTCAGATATTTTTGATGTTGCAGAGCCCTTTATCTCGGTTCCCTTAAGACATTGGTGTGTATGGTACTAAGAAAAATTACTTATGTTTTCAAGATCTACACGTCGTGTAAAGGAAAACCCCAACTTTGCGGACACCCTGTATAGTCGATTGTACAATGCCCGGAAATACTATCAATGGAGAAGGCAGCTCGTGCTAAATTTATTAGAGTATTTCCAGGAGAAGAATGAAAACATCGGTCCCCTGTTACCCACTTCATGCGTACTGGAGCGAGTAGCAGATGCGCTGAAGATTAGTCTCCGCCTATGGTCCGGAGACACGATCTGTTTACTCATTTCATATGGCGTTGTTGACGTAGCCGCCAAGAACGGTGACTACAGCTAAAGCTACTTCAAATTTCGAACACAAGATGACCCACCCGCTATAGCAGCGGGCGCCAACCCTGTAGCTCGCAAAGACAATTCTTGTGGCTCACAACATATTTTAAAAATGTGTAAAAATCATAGCAGCTTCCGTAAATTTTGTAAATTCTCATAATAAACACAAGCAGCGACAACACTGCGGTGAGCGACCTCTTCGAGAACGATCTCGATTACTTTGAACGGAATAAATACACAAGGCCCGGAAAGTGTCATACGTTAAACATGGCTAAAACGAATTCAAAATCCATTTCCGAGATAATACAATTATTATAAAACTTACGTTCATAAGCGCTTTCTGTAACTGCACCTGCCACTCCGCGGCATGTTGACAGATGACCTCCCACCGCTTGTTGTCCTTCTCTAACCTCTCTCTGAGGTCAGTCGCCTTCGATGAATCCTCACTGTGGTCAGCCAAATGCGTTCCGACGATGTTCAGAGACCTCACGATGCTTTTATGGCTGTCAAGGTCAAGGAGGAATTCTCTGTGGTCTTGAATCATCTGAGTACCTTCGGCGAATTGCAGCCATTTTTCTAATCGCCACAGATCGTTGTCTAGTTGAGCCCAGTTGCGTTTCGTACAAAGTGGGCATAGTAGGCGACCTGCCTCGCTGTAAAAGTCAGACTTTGTCAGTAGAACACATGTGAGCATGAATATGTTGGGTAGCTCACATGTGAGCGCCATCTATGGAGAAATAGCGCAACAGTTATTTTGCTGACATTACTGCAACCAGCATTTCGCTAGTATGGTTTGTGGGTTACATGTAAGATAGGATGTTAAACTGTGCAAGGGTGCAATTTATTAGTAATAGTAAAATAAACACATGTATGTCGTATACAACTGTTTATAATTTCATATAAGTTGGCTTACATTGCTAATGACTAGGTAGCTCTCTATTTATTCCAAAATTATCAAAGTAGCTCGACACACTGAAAAGGTCGGCGATCACTGCTCTATAGTTAAAGTGAGTCATAAACCGAGTTTGTGTTAGCATCAGTTCCTCATTCTCTTCCCGACTGATTGACTGCATCGAAATTTCGCGAAACTAAATTTAGCGTGCTAATTTTAAATATGCTCTGCTTGCACTAAAAATGCTGATCCGTTTCAGAACGCGCGAGAGCGACAACGAAAGGAACAAGAAGAGCTGTCGCAGTATCAGAGTTTCCTCGTCGAGATCGAACATTGGCTGGAATCTACCAAAACCACCTTGGCCACCTTCGTGAAACCTAGCGAAGAAAGGGAAATCCAAAGCAGCTTAGAAAACTTCGAAAGACTCAGCAAGGAGATTGAAAATAAAGAAGACCGGCTCAAGAAGCTTGCGATAGACTGTGAGACGTTCAAAAACTATCCAGACTTACAAGCTTTGGTAGTAACACTATTAGAACAATTACGAGTGCTTAGTGAGGCGTTCGAGGAACAGAAAGTGATTCTTAACACGCAAATAGTGCAACTGAAGGAGTATTTGGTGATAGTTAAGGAAGGGGAAGAAAAAGTTGAGGACGCTTCTCTAGAAAACACCTTGGACTCGACGTCTATGCCCATAGAAGAAATTCCTGTACATGTAGAAGCGAAGGCGCCTGTTGAGGGATATACAGTTACACAGGGCGTAACAATAGAGACACAAACAGGTATGATAGATAAATGTGCTTTATTTAGGGGGCATTTAAAACGCGTTGTGGGCGAACCGGACCCCCATTCACTCCACGTCTAGGCGCAAATCCGCACTAGCACGTGCACGTAAGACAATTGACCTAAGTGTTTCGTGATGTGGTATGTGCCTATTCGGAAATCGGTGTGCATACAAACGAGAAGCCGCTCGCGAATTTTGCCCTGCTTCTCCGCACGCTAAAACAATGTCCACTAACTCCTCGTTAGTGTACACATGTGCCGTTTTTATTAATAAATAACTAAAAACATAAACTCGCAAAATACTTTCTTCACAAAAATCGACCGTTCTTCATTCAGATCACCCACGATACAGATTATACCTTATTTACACGTTCTAATCAGTATGAAGAAACAAAAAAAGCCTGGTATTTTGTTTTCGTCAGTTGTTTGGTACAACATATGCAACAACAAATTACACTGGACAACAAATTTTAGTTTTTTAATTGTATCTTGTGGGAAAAGTGCACTTCTTTGTTAATTTTGGGGCGCTGAATCCAAAAATGATAATGAAATAAAAAAATTAGTTGCGGTTCAGAAAAAAAACTTTTTATTTTTAAGGATATATTAAAAAAAGTAACAAGATTCATATACTTATAAGAATCACTATATGCGCTGTCTTTTTGCTGTTCTTTTATGGATCGTTTCTGGAACATCTCTACCAAGAGTCCAACAGTAGTCTGCAAGCATGGAAGGATTCCACTTTCCCTGGTACCTTTTTTCCATTGTTGAAATATCCTGATGAAAACGTTCGCCGTGCTCATCACTTACGGCTCCGCAATTGTCAGGAAAAAAGTCCAGGTGTGAGTGTAGGAAATGTATCTTGAGAGACATATTACAGCCCATCTTTTGATACGATGACAGCATATTTTTGACAAGGGTTTTATAGTTGTCAGCTTTTCTATTTCCCAAGAAATTAGTGACCACCAGACGGAAATCATTCCAAGCAGTTTTTTTAATACCTGTTAAAGTGTTTTCAAACGGTGTATCTTTCAAAATATTTCGAATCTGTGGCCCAACAAAAATACCTTCTTTAACCTTTGCCTCACTTAGTCTTGGAAATTTCTGACGCAGGTATTGAAAAGCTGACCCATCTCTATCTAATGCCTTGACAAAGTTTTTCATTAGGCCCAACTTGATATGCAGTGGTGGTAATAAAATTTTTTTCGAATCTACTAATGGCATATGCTGTACATTTTTTTGACCTGGCTCTAGGCATTGACGAACAGGCCAGTTTTGTCTGGTGTAATGAAGTGCCTTTGCCCGACTGTCCCATTCACACAAAAAACAGCAAAACTTTGTGTAGCCTAGCTGCAGCCCAAGTAAAAGTGCAACAACTTTCAAATCGCCACAAATATGCCATTGGTACTCATCGTATTTTATGCATGTCAATAGGTACTTCATATTGTCATATGATTCTTTCATGTGAACTGCATACCCTACAGGAAGAGATGGTAAAATATTTCCAATATGCAATAACACTGCCTTTAAACTCAATGTTGAACTGTCTATAAACAATCTCCATTCTTCTGGGTTATAGTTTATATTTAAAGCCACCAGTAAGCCGTTAATGTTACTGCAGAAAACCAAGTTATTCTCCATATTGAAAAATGGCTCTATGTCTTTGTGGCGTTTACGAAAAACACATACCGCAACATCGTCTTCTAACAAGTTCCACTGCTGCAGTCTTGATCCAAGTAACTCTGCCTTACATTTTGGAAGTTCTAAATCTCTTACAAGATCATTTAATTCTGACTGTGTTATTTTGTGCGGTTGGTGGCATGACGTGCTCGGTATAAAATCAGGATCTCTTGACGTTGATGGCATATCTTCTTCCTGACGAATCACTCGATCGCCATGATCTGATTCGTTTTCTGATTCGCAAGTGTAGGATTCTGGGGGTTTTGGAATAGGATTTTCGTCACTGTGAGGCACAGGTCTCATCGCAGATGGTATGTTTGGGTAGTTAATAACCGATTTTTTTTTCTTGGACATACCTGTGGCTTGTCCAACACAAGGTACCATGCAAAAGTAACAATCATTAATATGATTTGTAGGCTCTCTCCAAACCATTGGGACAGCAAAGCGCATAGACCGTTTTTTGCCATTTAACCAGCTCCTCAGACTTGAAGCACATGTATTACAGCAGATATGGGGTGCCCACTGTTTGTCTTGATCACCTAGTTTACAACCGAAATAAAGCTGATATGCCTTTGTTATTAGTGGAGTAATAGACCGTCTCTAAGACGCAAAAGTCACATCACCACACACGTAACAAAACTGATCTGGATTGTTTACACACTTTCGAGACATCTTGCATGAACGCTGTCAGCCAACTGAGGAAAAAATGGCTAAATATAAAACAATATAATGTACACGTATGTATAACGTAACACAATCATGCCGATTACATCATCTTTCCTTGCCGAATATAAAAATGTAGCACGTGCATTCTTGTGAATTACAGTATATTAACACTGTCACAGCAGGAACACATATAATTACCGTATCTCTAAAACTTGAACTAATATTGAAAAAATAAGTTTCATTCCTGTTTTAGCACATTAAAAATAGTAATATTTTGTTGATTTTATTTAGGATATTTTTTGGCTGTTGATCAGTGTTATTAATGCGTGTTCTAATATCACGACGATGAACGCAAAATACAGTTATATATTTTTCAATTTATTATTGACACTCAGGCTTATAACTTAATTTCTGTAGAAGTTCTATTAAATTTTTTTTTGAGATATCGACTTCTTTCGTAACAGTGCATATGTGGTTAAAACTTGTCGGATACGTTGTGAAACGCGCCATATAAACGTTGCATAATAAGAGAGTTGAGTATCCTGTGTCACGCCTGGCTGAGACATCATTCTGTGCCTAACTTTTATATCGTGTTCGTCTTTGATATTGCGAACTGCTTCGTTATATTTGTTTCTGGACTCGACGTCGTCATGGGGTTTTGTAAGAAGGTCCTGTGTGCCTAGATCTTTAAGTTCTCATTGAACCATACTTTATTTAATGATCAACGAATAAATTATTACTTCTTTAATAAATTATTACTTCTTTCCAGGTCGAAGCTTGTCCTCTCCAGTTGAAGAACCGCCAACCAAGGACTTTACCGTCGTTTACAACCAACCCGTAGATGCCCAAACTCAAGCCCAAATGTCGCTCCCTTCAAGCGAAGCTGAGCACACTCAGCAGAAAGAAACTATAACAATATCCAAACGCACCAGCGGTGGGCAAGAAACTATTCAGATAGCGACCAAGCCCCAACAAGAATCTCAACCTATCGTCGAGGAACCTGATGATGTCCTCGTCGAAGCCAACTACAGAAAACGTCCTGAATCCGAAACCAGAGTCACCGAGTTGAATATCAGCAACGTAGTGCCTAACCAGCCTTTTGAAACCGTCTTTGTAGAACCTGACGAGACCACAACTGAGGTTATCGTAGACGCAGATGGCACGAAGAGGATAATTGTAAAGAAGCTCCACAGAACGGTGGTCAGACACCAACAATCCTCCCAGCAACAACAATTGACCACTCTTAGTTCCATCGCTGACGATGGTGTCCCAGTCACCCAGTCTTTCTCCCAAATTACGCTCAAAGGACAACAAAGCTCCACCACAGTAGCTAAAGGAGATGGCAGCAAGGCAACTGTTACGAGCCAACAATATGGAGGTAAAGTTGCTACAGGCGTACCAGGAGGTGATGTAAACGTCCACGAGTACCAAACTGACCCGGAAGTCCAATATACCGTCGTTGGGCCAACGATAAAACCTGAAGAGGTCGAGGTCCAAGGAGTCAAACTACACGAAGGAGACATAACCTTGGTTGACAATCAGAATCACTTGATGCCAGTTGCGGAAGGCGCTGAAGTCCATACATCTAGCTCTAGCGTAAGAGCTGTGGTGCAACAGGTCACTAGAAGAATCATTAGGAAGACCAGGAGGATCATAAGACGAACCGTCATAATAGATGGTAAAGAACATGTTACAGAAGAGGTTGTCGAAGAACCTGAAGAAATTGAAGTAACTGAGGAAGGCATTCCTAGAGTAAGCATCAATGTGACCAGAACTGAAGACGGAAAGGTGGTTCAAGAACAACAGTTTGGTGAACAGGCAACGTTCACACCTGGTACAACTACAATTCAGAAGGTCAAAACGGTTGTCTTGGACTCATCTGGAAAGCCTGTAGAAAATGTAGAACAAGAGCAGTTTGGCCAGGAAGCAACCTTAACAGCTGAGGTCACACCACCGGTCCTAGCCTCATCGGGAAAGCCTTTGGAAGCATCTCTACCTGAGCAAGAATCGGAGAGGTATGTGTTAGACCAGAAACTCACTGCACCTCAGCCTGATTCAGCACCACAAGTCACACAGTCGTTTGAAGTTGAGGAAACTAAGACCACTGATGTCACCAAGTCGTTTATTGATACAGAGAAGCTTGACAGTAGCGACGTTGGCCAAACACGTAGTACGGATGCTGCACCTACACCAAAATCCAGAAAGAAAAAGAAAGGCAAAAAGACTCCGGAAGACGGGTCTCAAAGTACTAAAAATGATTTTGTTGCTCCCGCAGATGTTCCCCATCCTACTGAAGCAACGTCTCAACCTGAATCTCTAGATAGCACAACCTACACGATTGAAGAACATGTCAAGACAGTGTCGCCTGATAAAACGATCGTCACCGAGACAGTTGATACAACCATTGCACCAATAGCAGACGCAAAGGTCACTGAAGAGGTTTTAGTTCGAATACCTGTTAAATCTGCTATAGTAGCTGAAGAACGTGTATCTCCTGATAGACCACAATCCGCTTCAGTAAAATTGATCACACAAGACTTCATCTTTTCAGAAAAATCTTTATCACCAAAAACTGTTTTGGAGCAGTCCGTTTTAGAAACACTACCAACTAAACAGTCGCTCGAAAACAAATTTAATCAATTTGAATTGGAACCTGTCGGACACACCTCTGCTACTCCAGAGGTGTCTAAAGTCGTTCTAGAAAAGACAGAAGTCACATTACCTGCAGTCGACAAATTTACTCAACCAGTTCAACAGACTCAGCCAGACATTGTGAAGATTCCTCTAGAGAAATCTGAAACGATTGCAGTGAGCGCAGAAGATGTAGCCAGTAAGTTTACTCAGTCAACATTAGAACCGGTTCAGCAGGCTCAGTCAGGCATCGCGAAAACTCCTTTAGAGAAATCTGAAGCAGTTTCAACTACCTCAGAAAGTCTAGTGACCCACGAGAAAGCGTCTGCAATTCCTGAAGATTTCGTGACTAACCTCGTTCATACCGAGCTTGAGCAAATTCAAGCTGAGCTACCTAAGATTCATCTAGAAAGAGGTGACGCTTTGCAGCCTAGTCCAGATGCTTTGACAGCCAAGTTTACCCAGCCAGAGCTGGAACCTGTTCAAGACCAGCCAGCCGTTGCGAAGGTACTTTTAGAGAAAGGTGACGCAGTTTTAAGCAGCCCTGAAAGCTTGATTTCAAAATTCACCCAACCAGAGCTGGAAACAGTTCAGCAGCTGGTAAAGATACCTTTAGATAAGGCTGAGACAGTTACATCAAGCGCGGGGGCACTTGTAACCAAATTTAGTCAACCGGATACCAAGAAGACAACAGGTGCTCCCACTGAGCTAGTCAAAGTACAAGAAACTGAACAGGTCACCTCATTGACTACAGAACCTACTGGCAACGTTGAAATGTTCTTGTCTTTAGAGGAAACTCGACCAGAATTTACAATCCAAACAACAGAAACAAAATCTACGAAACATGATACCATCTCTGCGTTTTTGGACAATGAACGCAGTCGCAGTGAACAATCTGTTGTTGGAGAAACTGTGAAGGCTGAAGATAAGTCTGTCATTCCAACTGAAGTAAAATCGTCCCAAACAGTAGACATCGTCTTATCTTTAGAAGAAAAACAGCAAGACTCTTCTATGGCGACTCCGAAGGTTTCAGTAGCTATGAAGATAGAAGAAGATACCGAAACGGCTGAGGTTATACATAAAGATATCCATGTGCAACTTCCGAAAGCCTCAGAGAAAATAGAGACCATAATTCCAAAACTGGAGGGCGAGTACGAAGCGCCTGTTACTCCCAGTGACATCGACCACGGAGGGAGAGGAAGTAAAAAGAAAAAGAAACATAAAACGCCTACTCCAATACAAACTCCCGAAGACAAAAAGATAGATGAAAATCAAGGAACAATTACACCATCAGTTGCTGAGTCATCTGAAGTTTCCTTACCGGATATTTCTAAGGAATCTGAAGATACTCCCAAACCGACATTCGGGGAAATGGACTTTCCCAGCGGCTCTGAAGACGAAGAGGAAGAAGAAACTGGCAAAGATACTGGTTACGAAGTTGATAAAACATACGATGAAGCAGCGGATGACGATGATCACGATAAGAAGAAACGTCGCAAAAAGAAACGCAGGCAGAAGGTCAAGGTCAAGGAATCTGAAGAGTCTAACTTACCGGAATCGTCAACGGTAGGTGGAGATTCTGTGCCATTAACTGATGACGAACCAATATTAGTACCGAAAGTAGAAGAACATAAGAAGACAAAGAAACGTAGAAAAGGAAAGAAGAGGCCATCTGAATCTGAATCCGAAACCGCGGTACTTGCAGCTCACGAAGAAGAAATAGGTTCTCCATTCGAGTCGTACCACACCATGTCATCCGTCTCCGAAACTGGAACTGTCAAGGTAGTTGAAGAACACGTCATCAAAACTCCTGATAGCGAAACTGCAGAAATTCCTTCAAGAATCGTGACAACAGTTCCAGTATTGGAAACTGTAGCTGTTCAAGAAACTGTTTCGCAAACATCACCTATTGAACAATTCTTGGAGCAAGAGAGAAGTATTTCGGAGAAGCCTGTTCTAGCACCGGTTTCTGTCCAAACATCTCCAGAACTACCGACAGCGGTAGAAGTACACACTGAACAAGTTTCTGTCCAAACTACCCCTGAAATACCCAAAGAAACGGCAGAACTATCTGTGCAGACATTAGAAGTGCAGAAACCAGTTGAGTCTCCTAAACCAGAAGTACAGGAGAGCTCAACTCAATTCGAAATATCTCAGACAGATATAATAACTCAGACCACTCCAAAAGCAGTGTCGCCTGAGCAGAAACCTGTAACTGAAACGATCGAAACCTCAATGCAAACTACATCTCCAGTTAAGGTGCAACTGTCTGAAGAAGGAGTTCAAACTGTCACACCTGAAGCAGTTGAAATCTCGAGGAGTGAGACTGCTATGCAAGCAACTATTGAAAGTCAAGAAGAAGCGGTACAAACCAAATCTCCAGAAACCATCGCTACAGCTGAGATTGCGTCTCAAATTCACCCAGAGATCGCAGAATCTGCTTTGCAGACGTCACCCGAGCAGTCAATAGAAAGTCACGAGGAATCAGTCCAAACTGCATCGCCGGAAACCGTGCCAAAAGCAGATACGGCATCTCAAATCCATCCAGAAATAAAAGAATTTGCTTTGCAGACATCCCCGGAACCATCTGCTCCTCCTGCTGAAGCAGTTTTCCCTCCAGCTGTTGCAAAAGAAACTGCAGAGATTGTGACTCAAACAAGTCCTGTCATTATCAAAGAATTAGGCAATCTGATAACTCCAAGTCCTACACCTACTCCTAGCTTATCAGACTCCTATGAAGTTCATGTCAAAGCTTCTGTTATAGTTCCTCCCTCAGACACGTCAGAGTCGGTTGGGTTCAGTACTCAAATCGTTGAAACACCAAGCACTACGTCATCTACTACGATAGCTGGTGAAGAAAGTTCTACTTCTGAAAGCTCAGATGAAGACTATCATGTAGAGGTAGCTGTAGAAGGCAAGCACGTAGATGTAGAAGGCTTCTTGGATGCAGAAAGATCTGGAGAGGAACCACACAAACACAAACGAAAGAGGCACAGGAAACACAAAAAGGGACATGGAAAAGAAGATCGTCCTAGTGTGGAGAAAGATCTGTTTGCAGAGTTCCAACGACAAAATACTGTAGATGAGTCAGGCGGTAACAAAGAATTATACGCCGATATTGCTAGAAGGTCTAGATCACCTTCGCCAGCGGTGCAAGTGTCTCAAGGTCCTCAAGTGATGCCGAAATCTGAGGTGTTCAAGGAGGCTCCAGAAATACATACTGTTGAGGAAGTACTACAAGAAAATCTTCTGAAGCAGGCAAAGGCATTAGAAGCTGAGGTTGTGTCAAAGGTACTCACAGATGTGGACAAAGATAAAGTGAAAAAGATATCAGACAAGAAGCAGAAATCTAAGTCTAAAAAGCAGGAACCTGCTGCTACTACTACCACCACTGTGGATATATCTATGAAAATACCTGATGAACCCCAATTTGAGATTGTAACTAAAGATGTACTAACAGTGACTGGAGATGATAAGGTTCCTACAACTTCGTTCAAGGTTGATTCTATGCTCACTGAAGCTGAATATAAAACTATACCTGAAACAAAAGTGGAAGCAGAGTTACTTAGATCTACGGAAGAACGAGCACCGAAATCTAAAATATCGTCTACAGTCGAATTCTTAGATGCCGAAAAGCAACCAGAAACAGTCCTTATTAACGACACACCAGTGACTCTAACAATCGATATTGATGCTCAGAAGCCAAAACAAACATCAGTTAAACCGAAAACAAAGGGCAAACATGTATCTTCCGTGACAATTGAAGAGGTCCAAGCATCCAGCGTTGTGACTGACACACCTCTAACTCCTGCTTCAGATTTTGGGCAGTTGTCACCGCCAGACTATTCTACCAGCTCTTGGAAACAACCTGTAGAACCTCCTCAGGCTATCGCGGAATCCGAGTACCAACAAGGTCCACTCTTGTTGAAAGAAGTGAACGTCAGGTGGAACCAAGCGCAAGCTTTGGAACGATTCAAGAACTTACAGAACGCTAGGACGACAACTCATCTGAGCGATGTCCTGTACTTGGCGACACGAAACGAAATAGTTACAGACGAAACTGCCCAGCAACGTATAGATAATGTAGAACAAAACTTGAACCTCGTGCAACAGGCGGTCGAGATGAAAGATGTCCCAGTGTTGCAACAGACCATCATAACGACAGTTGATACTATCACTACTTGGTTAGAGACTATAGAATATAGGATATACGTGAACAGACAACAAACGTCAGATGGACCATCCAGAGAACGTGTGGAGGAATTCAATGACCTCAAACAAGAAATTGCAGCTATCGAGGGTAAAGTGGAGCAATTGCAAAATGTCATGCAACAGACAAGCGATATCTATAACGAAGATGATAGAGAACGTATGAAGAGTTATATCAACTCTTTGCAACAACAGGTTAAAGTTATAGAAGAGGTTACTGATGAGAATGAGAAACTGGCTGCGGGAGACCTTCAGAGATGGGACGAATTCACTAACGGGGTTGCTAACATCACCTACTTGCTTGAACAGCTCAAGAGGCAGCTGAGTGACTTGAAGGAGTCCGATGCTTCACCTCAAACCAAATTGAGTGAGCTAGATAAACTTGAGAATGGGAATCGATGCCACATGGTGAAGGTTGCAAACTTAATAAGCACCGCTAAAGGACTGATGCGTGATTTCCCTTCAAGGGAGATCCCCAGGGAGGTGTACCTTAACAACGAAATGACTAAACAGCTGGAACAGCAGATAAGCATCGAAAGAGACAAGGCGCTTCAACTACTCTCTCTTGCAGACGAGTACGAACAAACTTTGAAAGAATTCAGTCAGATCATCATTATCGCCGAGGCCCTGGTCGAAAGTCCCATCTCAGTACGTAATTTGGAACATCTGGAAGACGAGATGCAGAATCACAGAAAGTTCTTTGTCAACCTCAGTCATTGTAGAGCCATCTTGGAGTCTCTAGAAGAAAACTTGGACTCTGAGACAAGAGCTATACACTCTAAACTGCATCAGAACCTGTACGAACGAGCTAGCGTAATTCTTGACAAATCCACTGGAAGGTTCCAGCAAATGTCACTAGCAGCGTCTAGATGGACTGTCTTAGAACAAGGTACTAAAGAGGAGATGAGATGGTTGCAAGTAGCTCAACAAAGGGTTCCTGACTTGAATAACGTCACATCAGCGGACTATGACAGGTATATAGATCTCTATCAATCACTGGAAGCCGATATTGATTACCACCATGCCAAGTTGCTCCATCTCAACAGTGTAGCCCGAAGATTGCAAGAACTTGTGCAATGCGCAGACTTAGAGCAAGCTTACGCTGAGTCTTTAGAGATAATTCAGAAGCTACAAGAAGATGTCCAAAGCAAGCTTGACAGGTTGATCTCGTTTAGAGACAGCTGGACCATCTACAACATGCAAAGCGACAAAGTCGAGTACTGGTTACGAGAAGCTGATATGGAATTAAGGAAACTGGAGGTCCCTTCAGTTCCTAGAGGTCATTTGAGACAATTCTGGGAACTCAAGGCTCAACATGAAGTGTACAACGTTTCCAAAAACCAAGCGGATAACGCGCTGGAACGAGCTTTGCAGATTGTACCGCTCAGTGACGAAATGGTTCAAAGAAAATTCCATAACGAATTGAATGGGTCTTGGCAAGAAGTGTCTACGAGAATAAGCGACATAGAGGCTTCGATTTTGGAAACAATACAAGCTCCTGACCTACCTGTTAATGAGAAGCTTGCTTTATTGGAACAAGAGCTTCAAGATCTCAAAGTGGACTTGGATAATATGAAAGGTATCATCAAGACAGAGGATGAATTGAATCTGTACGTGGAAAGGCTTCAAATTATGTCTACCAGATTGGATACTATCCAAAATGAGCTTGGTAGGTTGGGATTATTATCAGCAGGAGAATCAGATAAAGTAGGTAGTCTCTTGGCTCTTTCCAAAAGGCTTGAATCCACCATAACTGAGGAGCTAGAAAACGGCAACTTGGTGAAAGAGCGTCTGTTGGCTATTCAAAAAGGCATGGAGCGAGTAAGGCGTAAACACCTCGAAATGTCCAAAGGCTTGGACCAATGTGAAGACGCTGAAAAATTAGGCAGCGAAGCTGTGGAAAAATCAGTAAACGAATGCTTCGAAATCGGGGAAGAACTAGTGACTCTGTGGCAAGACCTCATGGCGTTGAGGCAGATGCTTCATACGCTTCCAATGAGGCTCAAAGTGACTGTATCGCCAGTTCAAGTCGAGAGGGATATCTCGCAGCTTCAAGACGACCATACGGCGCTTGAGAAGAGATGTGGACAGATATTGGCCTTGCTGAGGAGCAGGTTGGGTCTATGGCAAAGGTTCGAGAGGCAGCTGGAGTTGGTACAGCAAAGTGTCCAGGAGGCTGACTTTATGGTGGAACTGTTGACTGTGCAAGGAACTGTGGACTATGAGAGGCTCAGGAAGGCTACTGAGCGGTTAGAGGTGAGTGATTTTGTATTTTGTTGCTATTTTTGGACAAGTCGGCAGTATGTCTACTAAACGCAAATAGTTATATCAGAGAAGCCACATAGAATGTGTGGTCGCATCACATTGACATTTCTTCTGCATTATAGTAACGGGGCGACACAGCAAACTTAGCGGGTTTTTAACATACAGACTGTAACTAAAGTTTGGAACGCATCAAATATCTGACGAACAACTCATCTAGTTTTTTTAAAAATTGGTATTTATATTTGTCATTTGTCAGATATTCGATGCGTTTCGAACTTTTGTTACAGTATGTATATCAGTATGCGATGTAACCGAAACTTTAAGGTCGCCTCTTGAGCTAATACTGATTTACAAAACAAACAGCGATCTGCGAGCGGACCGTGTCCTTGGTTTGGCGATTCGCTCATAGATGGCTCGACATTCTGCCAAGGATCCGAGCGTTTCGCTCATAGGTGACTCATCCATCTATCGAGGCGGTGTTGCCAAACTGACATACAATGTTTAAATAATGCTACATTTATACGGAGCTCAGTTATTTTCAAGGTTGTTGTTGGTTACGTGCCATAGGCAACTTGAGGTTAAAAAAATCGAATTTCAGGCTGGCATTCCTTTTTTGTTACTTATCTAAATCGTGTAATATTCCGCATAGGGACCTAAAAGTTTGATAGCTATCTATGTGTATCATGCATTTCTAGAGGATTTTGTAGAAATTGTTTTCCTTTATAAAATAAAATAATGTAGGGAAATATCAGTGCGACATGACATAAAATTCGTCGAAAGTATTTTCTTACAATACAAAAAGTAGATTCCTCTTCGAAATTCAAAATGAATAATGGAGAAACACTGTAATATTATTGAAAGCTTATCTTTGGCCTAATGATCTACAAACATACTTTGCAAAAATTAGTCATATCTAAGATTATGATGACCTGGTTGTAGTCATAATAGTGGTATTACAGAAATGTCAATTGCCGTGTTCTCAGATTTCTTATTTGTTACTTCTAATTTTTTATCGATTCTTTTTGTACCTTGTGACATGTTACACCCAAACTGGAAAAGAGTATTCAGATGGTGAGATTCAAGGTAAATGAGATACTATTTTTTTCTCATGTTATCTCATCTCACTTTGCCAGACAGCAAAATATTCCATAATAGTCTGGGAGCTGATAGACAACGCTTTTCAAAAGGTGTCGCCACTTAGCTGGAAAGCTGAAAACCGGGGTAATGAAATTGATACAGAAGTCGACATCAAGCCGAAACCGGGTGATAGGCAAAGTCATAACAGCTATCAGAAAAATATTTAAAAAAATGTTATATATGTGTTTTGAACATTATAGGTCTTTGAAAAAGATATAGAAATTTCACACCCTACGGCAGTCTGTCAACTCCTGTTACTAAAAATATTAACTTTTTTTGGATTTTATTTTTACAATGTAATGATGAATAATGCATCTTCAAACTGCTGTCTCAACCTTACTGCCAACTTTTCTCGTTCAGGAATAATTGCCACTTATTTCCCAACCAAGTATTCCAAAGCAAAACTTTGCTCAACTTTAACTGGCTGTACTGGAAAAAAATGTACTACGAGAGTTTGGCAAGTAACCTTAACAGTTGGCGCATTTAATAAGGATTCCAAAATGGTATAATACTTAGAAGATTACTCGTTAACTTATGCACAATTTTTATTTGAAGAAAAACTGATGAAAATTTTTCAAAATTTACTAATTAAACAGCGATTATGAAAACGCACAAGGGCCCTTAAGGATAACTGTTTGCACAACAGTGGGCGTCAAAATGCTGCTGATGATGATTTACTTTTACAGCAAATGCTCAAACTGTTTTCCTTCAGCCGCAATACACGCTCGACATCTTCTTAAAAAAGATCGGGTTATTAAACGAGCGAATCCACGGTTATTAACAAACTCAGCTGCTTCCAATAGTCTTTGCCGTAGCTCAGCTACATTTTAAATCGGATTGAAATACACTTTTTCTTTTACAGTTCCCCAGTAAAAAAATCTAAAGGATTCAAATCAGGTGATCGGGCTGGCCACGGTATTGTACCAGACCGCCTTATCCATCTGCCTGGAAAGTTTTGATCGTGATACTCTCTCACTGAGAGTGCATAGTGCGCTGGGCAGCCATCATGCTGAAAGCACATGTCCCTGTAAATACTCAGTGGCACGTCCACCAATAAATTTTGTACATGATTTTTCAAAAAATCCAAATAAACTTCAGCAGTCAAAGTCTCTGGGAACTCAAACGGACCGATTATTTTACCATTTAAAATTCCTGTCCAATGGTTTATCTTGAAGCGATATTGAGATTTATCTTCTCTCATCAAATGTGGGTTTGCTACGTGCCACTCGTGTAAGTTATGCAGGTTCATGTACCCATCTTTCTTAAATGTGGTGTCATCCGACCATAAAATTTTTTCAAAGAACTTGTTGATCTCTCCTGTTTCTTTCTAACATTGTGCGACAAAAAGCAACTCGGGGCTCATAATCCCGGGGCATGAGAGGTTGAACACGCTGTATGTGGCATTGGACAGGAATTTTAAATAGTAAAATAATCGGTCCGTTTGAGTTCCCAGAGACTTTGACTGCTGAGGTTTATTTAGGTTTTTTGCAAAATCATTTAGAAAATTTATTGGAGGACGTGCCACTGAGTATTTACAGGGACATGTGGTTTCAGCATGATGGCTGCCCAGCGCACTATGCACTCTCAGTGAGAGAGTATCTCGATCAAAACTTTCCAGGCAGATGGATAGGGCGGTCTGGTACAATACCGTGGCCAGCCCGGTCACCAGATTTGAATCCGTTAGATTTTTTTTTACTAGGGAACTGTAAAAGAAAAAGTGTATTTCAAGCCGATTCAAAATGTAGCTGAGCTACCGCAAAGACTATTGGAAGCAGCTGAGTTTGTTAATAACCGTGGATTCGCTCGTTTAATAACCCGATCTTTTTTAAGATGTCGAGCGTGTATTGCGGCTGAAGGAAAACAGTTTGAGCATTTGCTGTAAAGGTAAATCATCATCAGCAGCACTTTGACGCCCACTGTTGTGCATACAGTTATCCTTAAGGGTCCTTGTGCGTTTTCATAATCGCTGTTTAATTAGGAAATTTTGAAAAATTTTTATCAGTTTTTCTTCAAATAAAAATTGTGCATAAGTTAACGAGTAATCTTCTAAGTGTTATACCATTTTGGAATCCTTATTAAATGCGCCAACTTTTAAGGTTACTTGCTAAACTCTCGTAGTACATTTTTTTCCAGTACAGCCAGTTAAAGTTGAGCAAAGTTTTACTTTGGAATACTTGGTTGGGATATAAGTGGCAATTTTTCCTGAACGAGAAAAGTTGGCAGTAAGGTTGAGACACCAGTTTGAAGATGCATTATTCATCATTACATTGTAAAAATAAAATCCAAAAAAGTTAATATTTGTAGTAACAGGAGTTGACAGACTGCCGTAGGGTGTGAAATTTCTATATCTTTTTCAAAGACCTATAATTTTCAAAACACAATTTTTTTAAATATTTTTCTGATAGCTGTTATGACTTTGCCTATCACCCGGTTTCGGCTTGACGTCGACTTCTGGGACACCCTGTATACAGGGTGTTCGAAAAATAGACGGTGATATTTTAAAGGGTGATTCCCGGTTAAAAAATATGAATAAATTAAAATTAAATAGGCAATGAAATGTGGCATATTCCGGATAAAAAATTAGGAGATTGTAAGATTTTTTTAATTCTAAAATTTCATTCGTCAAGATATTTTTAACAGAAAATTTGGGATATTCCGGTAAAAAAATTGTAGATTTTGCAGATTTTTTTTTATTATAAACTAGATTTCATTCGTATACTACGTTGTGATGATTGATTGTTGATTTACGTCCAATGTGAAAAAAGCTCAACTTTAACAGCTTGCCAGCCCACAATTTAAAGAAGTATAAAATACTCTAGAGTTATAAAGTACACGTGGAAGCTTCACAATGAGGTACCACATGTCCCTCGAATTTCAGCTTGCCAACCTGAGTCATTCATAAAATAAGTGGTAGTATGTTTGTAAAGCACTATCCACCAGCTCTCCGTCTATATCGCGATATCGCGGTATCAACCACGCAAATCAAATCAAGACGGTTTTGCTGCGCGTTTCAGTTGTTCGCTAACAGTCGGGGCGATGCTGTCACAACACGGCCTATCAGAATCACGCGCGGTACAGCCGTTTGGAATTTGGCGGTTAAAACGGAAATCTTTTTAACGGTCCGTTTCCGGTAGTCGCGAAAACTTCGTTGCTACATGCGCGTTTCTTGAGTTATTGTTCGCTGAAAAATTTTGCTTGATAACGAAAGCGGTAAAGATTCGGGAGCTACGAACGAGTATCCTGGATTATGCGTTTGTAACTTCTTATATTGTGCATTTAGGTGGGTTTCTGATTTCAGAGTGAAAAATACAATGGTGTAAAGGGTAAATCCTAGTGTCCAGACGCAAACATGCAAATATGAAAATAAATATAAAAGTCAAATGTCATATTAATCTCAGAATCGGATTCAACAGAAACGTACTACAGTATATTCAGATAAGAGATAGACCGGACATAAACAAGACCACGTGATCATCGAACGCTGTAACATTCGGCAGGGACGTATTAAGAGTCACGCAGTACATATTTTAGATAGTAGATGCTGCTTTGCGTAACTTTGTAGTAAATTAGCACAATTCGATGTGTATACGATTGGTGATGGATATAGGATCATGTGGGGGTGGGGTAAGAAATATATAATGATGTAAATATACATAAGGGTTTCAAAATTTTCTCTTCGATTTCCAGCTTCGGATGCCGCCTGATGTTTGGTGAAATACAGTCGAATATAATCTCAAAATGGCGTTTAAATTAGCCTAAATTAAAAATAATCGTATATCTCTTAAAATTGCTTTTAGAATATTGATTAGTATATTTTTTGATTTCTAGGTAAATATGTAACCAAATTAAAACGT